GTGCTTCTTTTCTCCCTCTCTTCTTCTTCTCTTCTGAAATTTCTTCTTTCTTTTCTTTTCAACTCAAGACTGATTGTAGTCTTGATCGACTACTTGGTATCAKAGCYGAMCTAGGAGCTCTTATGTTAGTCTAATTAGATTGACTACATGAGAATTTCCTAGGTTTAGAAGTTTTTCAACAAAGGAGGATCGGTTGATTCTTGGAGGTTACTGGTAGTGTGCGGCTACTACTAAGAAGATTGTAGAAGGCTGGGAGAGTTCCAGTAGTCAAGAAGAATCAGAAAAGGCTTCAGATCCTCAAGATTAGGGTTTTGCATCAGACAGAAGGTGGCGGTCAGAGATTTTCTTTCATAAAGTAAGTTTTTTCTAGAGAATAACCTTGGAAAAAATCATCTTGGTCTATTCTAAGAGGTGCGGCTGGAAAATCTGTTTTTTTCCTTTAGGGTTTTGAGAGAAAACCCTAAAATTCAGAACTGTTGTTGGTTTCAGATCAGATTTTGAACTAGTTTCATACAAAATTCTGTTTTCTTTGTTTTTTGGAAGACCTAGGCTGGCTGTTATCAATTGTTTGGGTGTTGTTTTCTAATACAGTAGTTTAAAAGGTTTTTTATTATTAATTCTTGACCAAGAATGGAATTCAAGAATCAGGGGGAAGGTGTTTTTTGGGACTAGCAATTCTGGTAACATGTCTGAGAATGCCTTTCAGATTACAACTATGAAGTTTGATGGATCAAACTACTTAGAATGGGCTCAATTGGCCATGATGGCCATTGGGGGTAGAGAAAAACTCAGCTACTTGTTGGGAGATGTGAAAGAACCAACTAAGGAGAACCAAACTTATACCAAATGGGTTCAGGAGAACTATTTGGTTATGACATGGCTGTGCAACTCTATGCAACCACATATCAGCCATAACTATTTGTGGGCAAAAACAGACAAGGAAATCTGGGATGTCATGAAAGAGACTTACTCCCAACCCCTTAATGTTGCTAGGGCTTATGAATTGAAGTGTGAGGTTAACAACCTTAAGCAAGGAGAGAAACCAGTCTTGGTTTACTTCTCTACCTTGAAGTCTTTGTGGCATGAAATTGACCACCTAGAAACACTTGAGTGGGAAAGTCAAAAGGATGCACAGATTCGTAGAAAGCAAGTTGAAACTAATAGAGTTTTTGAATTCCTAGCTGGTCTGAATCCTGACTATGATATTGTGAGACAACAAATACTAACAAGGGACAATGTGACCTTATCTCAAGCCTACTCCTTGGTGCATAGTGAAGAGACTAAGAGAAAGGTTATGATGCAGCATCAGCCCTTCCCACCAGCCTTGGCAGCAATTAAACCTAAGTCTAGGGGTGATACAGAGAGGGATATAAAGAAGGAAGATAAGCGGGATCTAGTGTGTGAACATTGCAAGAAACCTAAGCATACTAAAGACACATGTTGGAAGTTGCACCCTCATCTAGTTCAAGCAAAACTGAGGAACAAAAGGGGTAATGCTCATATGGTTGTTAATACCGATTCTACATCCTCATCAGGCACAAAAGGCACGCCTCTAGACACCCTAGCTGTTGTCCGAGCTGCCCTAATCAGTTGGAAAAGGAAGTTGGGAATTGAGCTCAATCATCTCATCCACCATCAGCTCCTCCCATATCAGCCTTTGCTCATTCAGGTACTCAAGCCTCAGCTTACCATGCTTTAGCTCCAGGTAACACTGAACATTGTTGGGTAATAGACTCAAGTGCATCTGACCATATGACTAGCTTGCCATCACTATTCACTACCTATCACTTATCTTCTGGTAGAGATAAAGTGTCCATTGCTGATGGTTCCCTTATTCCCATTTCTGGCAAGGGAGACATCAAGTTGTCTAATACCATTTCCTTATCTTCAGTTCTGCATGTTCCTAAGCTTGATACTAACTTGCTTTCAGTCAGTAGTATTACAAAACATCAGAATTGTTCAGTAACTTTTTTTCCTGACCGATGTGTTTTTCAGGACTTGAAGACAAGGAAGGTGATTGGGACTGGCCGTGAGACAAATGGGATCTATCTGCTTGGAGAGAATTCTCATTGGGAAGATCATGAAGATAGGATGTTTTTGTTTCTCAGCCTGTTAGTCAGGTTATGCTTTGGCATAATTGGTTGGGTCATTTATCCTTTCGGTCTTTGAAGAGTTTGTTTCCAAATTTGTTTGAGTCTGTTCAGATGTCAAATTTGAGATGTGAGAGCTGTGAGCTTGTAAAGCATTGTAGAACATCTTATTCCTTGAGTAATAAAAGAAGTAGTAATTCTTTTGATATTGTGCATACCGATGTTTGGGGCCCGTATCACATCACTTCTATGGGGGGATACAGATATTTCTTGTTGTTTGTTGATGACTATACCCATTTTTCTTGGGTTTACCTTATGCGTTCTCAATATGAGGTTCCTGCTTTGACCCAGATCTTTCATCAGATGATTTTAACCCAGTTTCGGGTCAAAATCAAAATCTTCAGATCCGATAATGCGAAAGAATACTTTACCAACCCATTAGCCTCTTATTTGCTTGATCATGGGATTATTCACCAAAGTACTTATCCTTATACACCACAGCAAAATGGGGTTGTTGAGAGGAAGAATAGGCACATATTGGAGGTGGCTACAAGCATTATGTTTAACTCCAATGTACCTATTTGTTTCTGGGGAGATGCTATTCTTACAGCAGTGTATCTCATTAATCGAGTTCCTTTATGGGTTCTTAACATGAAGCCTCCATTTACCCTTCTATACCCCGATAAAGAATTGTTTACTGTTCCCCTTAAAACCTTTGGTTGCACTTTCTTTGTTCAAATTCTTGGACCTCATCGTTCCAAATTTGATCCTAAGGCCTCCAAATGTATTTTCTATGCACAAACTCAAAAGGGTTATTGCTGCTATGAACCTACTTCTAGGAGGAGATTTGTCTCGATGGATATTACTTTATTTGAGGAGGTACCCTATTACCCTAGGGTTTCTCCTCAGGGGGAGAGTAGTGAGAGTGGGGTTAACTCATCAGAAGTTCCTTTACCTGTTCCATTGAGTGATGAGGGATGTAATGGGGAGGGTTGTCAGAGGTGTCAGGATTTGAGAGTCTATCACGGGCAGTGGAGGCAGGTTGGTTTCGGTCATCAACAGTCCAGGCCAGCCCCAGTTCATTCTACGGATCCAGATCCAGGTACCACAGTCCCTTTATCAGATCTAGGTCCCACTGAGATACCTTCCACTGTTGCTACTTTACCTCCTTTGAATGACCTTGACCTCCCCATTGCAGTCCATAAAGGCAAACGGCATTACACCACATCCACAACTCACTGCATTTCCCAATTCCTGTCCTATGATCGCCTGTCCCCCTCTTATAGGTCCTTTCTCACATCCATTGCTAATATTCCTATTCCCAGAACAGTGCAAGAAGCCTTGTCAGTTCCTGAGTGGAAAGATGCAATGAAGGTTGAAATGGATGCTCTTCTGAGGAATAATACTTGRGAGCTAGTTGACYANCCTAAAGGRAAGAAACCGGTTGGATGTAGATGGGTATTTACTGTGAAACATAATGTTGATGGTTCCATTAAAAGGTGTAAGGCCCGATTAGTTGCAAAGGGATTTACTCAAACTTATGGTATAGACTACTTGGAGACTTTTGCTCCAGTACTCTTGGCCCTTGTTCCAGATGGATGTTAAAAATGCCTTCCTCAATGGAAACTTACAGGAAGAAGTCTATATGCAGTTACCTCCTGGATTTTATGATGTAGAGACAGGAAAGAAGGTTTGCCGGTTGAATAAAGCTTTGTATGGACTAAAGCAGTCCCCCAGAGCTCGGTTTGATAGATTCAGACAAGCCCTTGAAAAATTCGGCTATGTACAGACCCAGTCAAACCATACATTGTTCATTAAAAAAGTGGACTCTTCCTTGACTTTTCTTGTTGTATATGTGGATGATATTGTAGTGACAGGGAATGATAACAGTGAGATTGAGTCTCTTAAACAACACCTTCATCAAGAGTTTGAGGTAAAAGATCTGGGAGAGCTACGATACTTCTTAGGTATTGAGGTTGTTAGATCTAAACATGGGATTTTTATTTATCAAAGGAAGTATGTTCTTGATCTATTGGAAGAAACTGGAAAGTTGGGTGTTAAGCCTACAAATACACCTATTGAACAGAATCACAAGATCAGTGCAGAGGGTGGAGAGCCACTTGAAAACAAAGCTATGTTCCAACGGTTGGTTGGAAAACTCCTCTATCTTTGTCTCACACGATTGGACATCAGTTATGCAGTCAGCGTTTTCAGTCAATATATGCACTCTCCTAGAACTACTCACCTCCTTGCAGTTGAGAGGATATTAGCATACTTGAAGAGATGTCCAGGTAGAGGTATATCATTCAAGAATAATGATCACATGAAGATAAAGGTTTATACAGATGATGATTGGGTTGGGAGTGTTGATGACAGAAGGTCTACCTCTGGATATTGTACCTTTGTAGGAGGTAACCTTGTCTCCTGGAAGAGTAAGAAACAAAGTRTTGTTTCTCGTTCTAGTGTTGAAGCTGAATATAGATCTATGGCTAATGGTGTGGCTG